CAAATCCCATGGTAGACAAGAAAGTTCAAATGAACTCTTTGTTTTCAAAATAACCTCCCAACAGAGGGTTCTGAGTCAAATTGTTTGCTTCACCCCCAGAAAATTTAAGCAACACAAATGGGTTTCAGCTGAGTGCAGGTACACATGGGCTGTGTATGCCCAAAGCCGGACGGTCTTAAAGAAGTCAGTCTTTAGGGTTCCCACCAGATTGGAGCCATACCCTAAGAGTTCTGCCAGAGTCAGCAACGCACATGTTAGGAGCCCTGGCCTCCTCTCACCTGAATTACAGAGTCATCAGAGCTTGAAATAAGAGTCCTTTCATCAGCTGTGAATTGCATGTGCCGCACAGCTTTCTTGTGTCCAATCACGGACTGGCGTTTCTTGGCATTTAGGAGTTCTACAATCTGTAAAGCAGAGTACCAGAGAAAATCAATCCAGAGTAGTGCAACGATATCCAGGCATTACACCCCAAAAATATTAAACTACAGAAGGGAACAGAATTTCCATGTCACAGTGCTTTCAGTTTTAACTAAAAACACACCAATGAATGGTATGTACAGACACATAGCCTAGAGTAACTCACTGGAATGACCAGATGTAGTAGGAACCAGTGGTCCTTCTGGGTACTCAACCACTCAATTCATTAAACAAGTGGCAGTCTGGGCTCCGTCAATAACAAAATGACATTTGAGATGATGCAAGAGAAGAAAGAAAAAAAATCCTGCATGAGACAAGACAAGCTCTCTATAAAACAACACAGAGACAAGGAAAAATAAAAAATGATGAGGGAACTACGTACAGTGAGAAAGGACATGAAAAGGCTGGGTGTCTGTGTGCTGTGAAGAGTTAAGAAGACCAAACACTACACTGAGAAAGTGGTATAAAAACTCAAAAAACAATAACTAGGGTCAAAAGGCTTTCAAGTAAATTCATGTTTAAAAAAAATAAGTATGTTTTATTTTTTTGCAGAATAAATTAAAATGTACTCAAGGGAGGCCTAAGATGACACAAGGGAGATTTCAGAGATTCAAACGTAACCTATGTGCCCGCGTGGTAGTTATGTTTGTGTGTCAACTTGGCTGGGCCTGGTTGAGTGGCTTGGCGGCTGGTGGTAGTTATTCCCCATGATGAGACTGGCAGTCAACTCCATGGTAGGCAGCTGAGTAGCTGCCTTTGGGATATGGTCTGCTTCCTGTGTATAAGGAGAAGCCTTGGGAATGGTCTCTAGCTTATGGAACGCTTGGACCCTGCATGCAGCCTTGTCATTGTTCAGCAGCCTGCCATGTTCTGCCAACCTTAGGACTTACAATGGACTTTAATTAATGACCTACCATGTGATCTGATGCACAACCTTAGGGCTTCTCAGAGGGCTAGTGGTTCAAACCCATCAGCCACTCCTCAGAAGGAAGGTTGGGCAATCTACTTCTGTAGTGATATCACCTCAGAAACCCAAGGAGGGGTCGTTATGAGTTGGGTCTGACTCAACGGCACACAACAACAACAACAGGGCTTCTCAGCCTCAGCAGCCGGCAGCTGTCTGAGTGAAGAAACGCTTCTAGCTCCAGTGGGCCGGGAGTAGGAGGCAGAGCTGGACGCCAAGGTTGAGGGGCTTTCACCCAGCCCCTAGAGCCTGGCACTTTGAACTTGGACTTCAAGCCTCCAAACTGTAACAATAAACTCCTGTTTGTTAAGGCCGTCCCATCTGTGGTATATTTTCTTGTCGGAGCAGCACTAGGAAACCAGAACAGCCCATAAAAAGTAAAGGGGAATCTGGTGGATGGGAACCTTTCTGAATGAGCAGGAGAAACAATTTCACGATTTCTATGGAGGGAAGAGGGAGTGGGGAGCAGGATAACAAAATAATTGAGCTCATGGACTCAGAGACATGGGTTTGAATCCTAGCTCTGCCACTTACTGATTTTGTGAAAGTTATAAAACTAAGAGAGTTTGTTGTTGTTGCTGTTGTTATGTGCTGTCTAGTCGAACCCGACTCATAGCGACCCCTCCTTGGGTTTCTGATGCAATATTACTATGGAAGTAGAATGCCTCATTTTCCTTCCGAGGAGTGGCTGGTGGGTTTGAACCACCAGCCTTCTGGTTAGCAGTTAAGTGCCTTAGGCACTATGCTAAGAGAATTTAGACATCTGTAAAACAGGGATGATAATATCTACCGTCTAGAGTGTTAAAAGAATTCAAAGATAATATTTGGCACAGTAAATACCTAATAAATGGTTGTTGTTATTATTTGATGATACTAGGCTGAACCATATGAAATTGCCATTTTATAGGTCAAAAACAGTTGAATATTGGCCATTTGGTCCATAATACATTGTTTATGTGATCATTTTGAGGCAGCTGAGGATGAAGATGAAGCACATGTATGTTTTACAAGTACTTTCCTTGAACTATGTCAAAGGCTTATTTCAAGGCACTTAGTTTTTAGTTTTTTGGTTTTTTTTTTTTTTTAAAAAAAAAAAAGAATGTGGAGCTGGCTTGGCAACAAGTAAAAAGGAAATGGGAGCTCAGGACTCCTTAAAAAGAATTAATATTATATGACAGTTTGAGAGATGAGACTGAGAGGGAAAGGCTAGGCTCACCTACAAATGTACAATCACTCTTTGCGTAACAAATACCCAAAATATGTTTTTCAGAAAAGTACCCTCTTAGCAACCATTTTTAGCAATCATTTTTCAAGGTAATGAAGAAAAAACAAGGTCTTAACTCTAAACGCATGCCATAATGGCTACGGCAAATATACAGTAGCACTGACATGATTTCCAAATGCTTCCTTCTTCACTTTGTGTCTAAGTATAAAATTCTCCTCTTTGTAGGGCAATAGGAAATGGAGAAACTAGTGTCATTTTTCCTGAAAGTGAATCAAAATAAAATAAATGTGGCTACTGCCACAATTAATATATTACGAAATAATTCTAAAAATCCTGGAATAGTTCCAGATAGAGGAAGAACCAACGTTCTCCGACACACTATTATAGAGCTAGAGAAAAAGTGCTTTGGTACATTTTATATAATAAAGAATAGACTGTTTTTATCTAAATTTTTTTATTTTACTACCCTTTTTGCCTTACAACCTGATTTTTATTTTATTTATTGCTCTAGTTTAAATTGGGTCCAACTCGACGGCACATAACAATAACAACAACTAGTTCAAATAAGAAAGAGTTCAGGTGGTGAGTAAGTGTACTTCTAACACCAAAAGTAGAACAGCAAGGGGGTAAAACAGGTAAACATAAGGTAACCCTGCACTTATACTCCCAATGAACCTTATCAGTACCAACGTGGACACAATTTACACCCTTCTTCTTCTAAGAAGGGGACAAAAAAATGCTCTTTGCATAGTTAGCTAAATCTGATCAAATTTGATATACTTAGAACAGCAACACAACTAGGTAGAGAACAAGAAACATAAATAGACAAGAAGTATGAAAGACAGCAGAAGTAACGGAAACCTGCCTGGATTTAAGATTACTTATAGTACAATGGAACAATGACAACTGTATCATAGAAAGACTTGTTCAGTATATAAGTGTACTATGCCAGGCATATAATTAATTTTAAAGAAGTATCTACATTGCACAGAATGACTCTGAGGACTATATCTGAATACCTCAATGGCTCCGTCTTCATTTCCAAATGCAACATACTGAAGACGTGGACTTAAGCAACAGCAACTAACTTGAGCTTCAGTCAGATAATCAATCTGACCTGTTTTTCCATTAATGAGCTAATGAAAAATAAGGCACAATCAGTTATTAAGCTGTGAGAGTAGGTTTTATTCTTTAGAACTGAGGCTTCAATTGCAAAACTGAAAAAAAAAAAAAAAAAAAACCCACAGAAAATAACCAACAAGCGCTCCCAAGGGAACCACAAAACTGTATCCCACTACCAGCAGCTGCAGTTAGCACTTCATGCTTGCATTTCATTTCACTTTTGCGGTTCAAATACATTTTCATAAAATAAAACAAGCTTTAAAAGGTTTAAAAAGCAGCTGCTGTGCCCATCACCTGAGCCACATCTGTCTGATCTGTAATCCCACACTAGCTCCACATCCTGTTTTCCATTTCTTCACAAAGGCCATGTTAATAGGCTATCACTTGTTAAAACACAATGCTGCTATTATTCAAGGAGGCTGGTGAAACAGACATTCCATAACAAGACAAATCCAAAGTAAAACGGGTTTTATAGCTTCCAAATCATTCACAAAACAGTGTTAATTAAAATTCTTTTTCTTTGGAGGGCAGGCGAGTATTGGAGAAGTATCCATAAGCATAATTTGGATTGCTGAATTGATCATGCTTAAATTAAGAGTACCCTGCTTCATCATCTGTACCAATGCTAATAATTATTATTTTTAATTCCACTAATAAAAGATGATTTATCACTCAACTCAAACAGGTGACCTGCAAAAATACTGATGAAGCTTAAATCAACTGTCAGATACCTCACTATAACTGTGTTACAACCTAAAAATCTTGAATTAATTTTCAACATGAAATAAGCAATCACCTTTGTTTCAGGTACAAAAATTATACGGTCAGTCAATCACAAGCAGCTTTTTCTGTATAATATTCTACCCAGCATGTTCCGCTCTGTTAGACATTCAAAATGAAGACTCAACTACTACAAGATGAATACCTTCTTTCTCTCAAAAGTCAATTTCCAGATACCTTCATAAAACAGTGGCTAAAAAAGTACTTCATTCACATAAATGAACTGTTATTTGGCAATTTAACTATCCTCTAAACTCTTCCACAACCAATGACAGAAAAAACAAGATACTTTTATACTCAGATGGCTTCTTTTTTAAGTCTCACAGTTATGACAACTGCTAAAGGTTACACAAATTTAATAAAAGAAATGTAAGCATGAGGATACTGAACTTGGCAAGAAAACTGCAGTGGAAAATATCCTAAGTGGAAGGAAGGATCAGTCTGCTGAACCCAGTAGTGAGGAATTCACATTCAATTCCACATCCTAATTCATTCCAGAATACAAAACATTTGGACCTCCCAATCAACATACAGAGAATAGTAGTGTAACTTGTAAACTATGAAATGTGTGGGATGTCTCACAGCTTGACTCTGACCACACAGTAGAAGAGGAGTCCCCACACACTATAGACAATTTACTCCCACCTATCTGTCTCCTAAATTTAGATTCTACTTAACCCTATAATCAGCTCGCAGACTGCTGCAAACCATAAAGACTTTAACATCACAGAACTAGTTGATGACGCAGAACTAGTTGATGACAAAGCTTGAACTCAAACCCGGGTATCCTGTGCAGAAAGTCACTGTTGTCTTCACTACACAAGCTGAGCTTTGCAGCCTTACAACTTGTTAGGCTCTGTCCTACTCTCTGCCAGTCTACCTCAAATTCTTGCCATCTCTCAGACCTTCCACGTGCAGGCTCCTTCTCTTTCTTTTTCTCTTTTTGTTCTAGTGCCTGTTTACTATCTCATTTCATTCTTTCACACATGTTCTTGCTCTCTATCTTTTAATAACCAAATCAAGAAAAACTAAATGCAAAGATTACATTAGCACTGCACAAACCTATCCCTAGAAGTATAACGCACTTACACTTCTATTAAGTATAAAGGCATTTGAAAAATAAGGCAATAAGCTCTATTCAGGTTCTTTAAAAGCTAATGAAAAGTCAGAACTCTGGTGGCACAACATCGTTAGAAGCTTGGCTGCTAACTGGAAGGTTGGTGGTTCAAACCCATTCAGCAGCTCCAGGGTAAAAATTACAGCCAAAAGCTAATGAAAAGTCCTAAAATATCAAATTAATTCTGAGAAAACAGTATACAGGATCATTAGCCCTCACCTGTCACAGGGTTTCAACCATTCCCCATGCTTATGTCTCTGAGAAAGTCCTCTGAGCAAGAGGAAATGTCTTAGTAGCTCACATAAAAGCCACAGTGACCCTGTCTTCCTTTCCTGGCTGTTGCTTTTACCACCTCTCTCAGCCACAGGTCACTGTCACTCAGCTCCACCACGCTGACACTTCCGACAATGGCCCACTGCTAGCTGTTCTGTTTGAGCTGCCCACATGAAAGCAGTTACTTTGTATTTGACCTTCAACTCTCCATGAGGTATTTGTTTTTGACTGCTGCCACTACCTATAATGCTATTACCACTTCCAGAACTTCTCTATCGTGTTAATGCCAACTGCACCAGACCTTCATAGAGAAAACACTTTTGTCACGCCACCAACAGAGTGCTGCAAACCGAAGCTTCTTAGGGGATCTGCTCTCTGAGTTATTACCACTTAAACCTGCTAAATACCATCCTGCCAAATCTCTGGTGCCCCTTTCTCTCCAGCCAGTCAAGAAACGCCTTCCCCTTATATGTCATACTCTTTAGACATGGACGGTGGGAGTGTTTAGGGCTGACATATTTAGATTCATAAAGTGGTAATAGTTTTTCAGTTTTCCCACACAATCCTTTCCTTCTCAGAGAACATAATAAGCATTCAACAAATGTTATTGAGCAAATGTATAAGTAAATGAATGAATGAATAGGTACTATTTAGTATGTGAAGCCCAGTTCCTCCCACTTCAGGTCCAATGGGTTACTCCTTCCTCATTTAAGGTGATTTTTATTCTTTCAAAAACTTTATTACACAAGGCCTCCATTGGTATGCTCATCTCCTTTGCACACTCCATCAGATATGTCCAAGACACTATTGTGCACAGGTTCAAGTTGGTTCTCATGGTATTCCTGAACTTCATGCAGGTCAAGGAACATAATCACAAATACCAACAGGAGAAGAATGAGGAGAGGTGAGGTATCACCTAATTTAATTCTAAATACTGGCATATCTAAGCCTCGGCTCAAGATTCATATATTTATTTAAAAATGCCTACAGGGTACCTGCAAGATACTAATTATGTGTGATCCCACATCCCAAAGCAAACAAGAAAACTGTGAATTGTGAGTTCAACCAAAACAATTTTCCCAGCTGTTTTCTAAAAAATACTCACTTGTAGACGTTTTATATTGTCAACTGCAAGAACCATCACTTCACTCTCATGAAATACAACATCTATTTCTTGTTTTAACACTACAGCAGAGTTCTTACATACTTTCTTTGTCTCCCAGAGCTGTTTAAGAGGTAAAGAAACTAAAATGAGTTATCAGTATGTTATCAATCCACTCTCTGAAATAACATAAAGACAAATCTTAGTCTTAAAGCAAGATACAAACTATGCTTCACAATCAAAATGCTTGAAAATTTTCAGTTATCAGATTAGAATTCAAGTCAATAAATATTAAAACATTCTATAGTAAAAAGTAGTTAATATTAAGATTATAAGCTCTGGACACAAAACATCTCAGTATGAATCCTAGTTCTACCTACAGCTGTGATTCTGAGCAGGTTACTTAACCCAATAACACTGAAAGCTGAGGACCTGCTGCTGCTGGTTCTCAAACTATTTGATACTGGTCCACGACAAGGTAAGGAGCCTGCACCTTGTAAATCACCTATACTTCTACACTGACACAGTGTGCTTAGTGATATAGGTGATTTTTTTTTTTTAATAAGACTTTCTTGATGAAGGAAGCGGTATGCTAACCTACCTTATGGCTCAAGCTCATTGAGAATGGCACTTTAAGTAGCACTAACTTAACTCTTCTGTGCCTGTTTCCTCAGCTATAAAAAGGGCTGTGATCATTGGTAAGTTAATACATGTACTGTACTTTGTACCAATTACCTTAACTACAAGAAGTACTAAATAGATTTTAGCTACCATTTGTATAAAACACTGTATATTAGATGCTACAAGGACCAGTAAGAGTTCCTGTCCTCATTGAGTTTATAATTTAAGATTTAAGTGTGAACCAGCTGGATGAGCTATGTGGAGCACTACAGCTAAGGATTATATCAAAACTGTATTAAATTCCAGGCAGAATTTGATGGGCACCATAAGAAAATAATACAGACAACTATAACATAGTCCACAAAGAGAATGTTCTACATTGCTACTATGCTGAGTAGCAACTGGGGTCTTAAAAGCTTGATAAGCGGCCATCTAAAATGCAACTATTGGTCAGTCCCCATCTGGAGCAAGGAAGAGTAGCAAGGAAGACAAGCAAGCATTTAAGGAAATAATTAGTTCAAGGGACTAATGCACCACACTAACCACATCCTCCACCAGCCTGAGACCAGCAAAAATAGATTGTGCCGGTTACCACTACCAACCACTCTGATCAGGATCGTAACAGAAGGTACTAGACAGAGAAAGGGGGAAAAAATGTAGAATAAAATTTAAAATCATAAAAAAGATGAGACTTACTGGTCTGACAGAAATTAGTAGAACTTCCAAGACTAAAGCCCTTAGATGCCCCAAGCCTGGAACTGAAACCATCCCCAGGGATCAACTTTCAGCCAAACAATAGACAGGCCTATAAAGTGAATTAATAACACAAGGGAGGAATGTACTCCTCGGTACAATCAACCTCACAAGACCAAAAGGGCAGCATTTGCCCAAAAACAAAGCCAAGACAGACAGACAGAAATGGGGAACCCATGGAGAAAGTGGAAAGACTGTTGTTACATTGGGGGGATTGCAAGCAATGTCATGAAACAAAATGTACATAAGTTGCTGAATGGAAAACAAATTTGCTTTGTAAATTTTCACCCAAACTATAATAAAAAGCTAAAAGAAAATGACATAGAGTTAGAGGGCATTAAAGGAGAGAGACACTGAGATAGTACCATAAAAGGAATATTAGGAAAGGTTTCACAGAAGGCCTGAAGAGCCTTGTAAGACTGTTAGGATTTCAAAAAGGAGAAGACAAGGAAGTAGTATATTCAGAACATAAGAAATCATATAAGCAAAAGTACAGAAAGGAACTAACTATAAGGTGTTTGGGAAAATGTGAGCAGTCTAGTGTAGGCTGCCTGTAGGAAAACGGAAAAAAAAGACTAGAACATGAAGCCACAGCTCAAATGGCAGATTTAAACCAAAAACCAAACTCACTGCCATCGAGTCATTTCAGACTCATAGCGACCGCCACTGGGTTTCCAAGCTGTAAATCTTTACAGAAGTAGATCACCCAATCTTCCTTCGTGGTGAAGCTGATGGGTTTAAACCACTGACCTTACGATTAGCAGTCAAGTGCCTTATCCACTCCACCTCTAGAGCTCCTTAAATGGTACACTTAGGAGCATGTATTTATTTTTGTAAGCCACTGTCTGGTTTTGAGCAAATTAACCTTGATTGTGTTGGATATTAGGGAAATATCTTGAAGCTGCATGTGGAATAGTTAACGAGGAAAAAAAAAAAAACTTTTGGCAGAGACTAATACAACAATGGGAGCTCTGGTAGCACAGTGCCTAAAGCACTTGACTGCTAACCAGAAGGCTGGCGATTCAAACCCACCAGCCACTCCTCGGAAGGAAGATGGGGCAATCTACTTCCGTAGTGATACTGCCTCAGAAACCCAAGGGGGGCTCGCTATGAGTCAAGTCCGACTCGATGGCACATATCAACAACAACAATACAACAATAGAGGGAACAGGTAATGATGAGGGCAGCAAGGTAGAGATAAATGATGGGTAATGCAAAGGCAGAATCAGAACTGGCAAGAACTGGGTAGGAGAAGTCAGGCAGAAAAGCCAAAAATTACTCTGAAGAATCAAATGTACATTTAAGTTAAATGAAATGCATTTTAATCATTGGACTACTCCAGCACCTGGCCCATGGTAATGTTCAAGAAACGTGTGCTGAATGAATGAGACTGCTATATTTCATACCACTGCACTTTTTCTAGATGAGTATGAACACAGCATATCTTGTTTTAATTGCCCCAGTGCTCCCCATCAATTTCTTAGTTTGTAGAAGATTCAACTCACTATTAGTAAATGGCTAAAAAGTCTCAGTATTACTCACCCTGACTGTCTGATCATCAGAAGATGTCAGAAATGATGATCCATCAGGAGAAAACATCACAGAATGAACCCAACTTAAATGTCCTCTGCAGTCAGCTACTTTTGCACACGAGTCTATATTCCACAACTACAGAATAAACACAGTACACAGGAAATCATATTCATAAGCATTTTGAACATGGTAAGAATATTGAAAACAGCAAGAATGACTTAGTAATACCACTTCTAGGAATACAGTCCAGAAAAGAAATTAGCAAAAATACAGAATGACTTATACAGAAATTATTCATTACATCACTATTTTTAATAATAATAACAAAAAAGAAACTATCCAAACGATCATCAAGAAGGAACTATCTGAATAAACTACAGTGGTTACAATTATGTGATTACATAATGAAATACTATGCAGTTAGAAAAAGTAATGAGAGAAATCCTTATATACTAATGATAACTAATCTCTTGAATATATTAACAGAAAAAAAGCCAAGTACAGGAGATCATATATATTACCTTTTATATAAGAGATGGAAATACAATATGTGATTATACAGATAGAAATGGATATAGCTCTCTATATACATATAGATGTCTGGTTATATATGCAAAAATAGAGACTGGAGTTACCTATGAAGAAGGAAGGAAAAAGAGTAGAGAGCAGGGGACAGGGATAAAAGTGAGACTTCTGCATATATAACTCATCATAAAGTCTTACATCAAAACCACGTAAATGTTCTACTCTATTTTAAAAAAAATCAGTCTAAAAGAAGAACTAGATAAACATAAGCAGCTTCCATATTCAGCCTATTTTCCATTAATAAACCCCAAAAAACCAAACTCAATACCGTCGAGTTGGCCCTGACTCATAGCGACCCCTCCTTGGGTTTCCGAGGCAGTATCACTACGGAAGTAGATTGCCCAACCTTCCTTCCAAGATTTTCCACTAATACTGTCATTTAATCTGTTATTTAATCCTTATTTCAGGTGGTGTAGTGCCTAAGGCATATTTGACTGCTAACCAGAAGGCTGGTGGTTCAAACCCACCAGCCACTCCTCGGAAGAAAGACTGGGCAATCTACTTCCATACAGATAACACCTCGGAAACGCAAGGAGGGGTCACTATGAGTCGGATCTGACTCGACAGCAGTGAGCTTATCTTTTTTTGTAATCCTTATTTGAAGTGATTGAAAAACTCTACAATAAATGAATATCCTAACTGTAACGCGTAAAGATTTCTCTTTGTAATTCATGCTTACAACAAATTGTCAAAGTCTTCCACCAGCCAGGCTGTATTTTGTCCTGGGTTCTGTTGCAAATTACCCAAATTTATTCTGGTCTAAAGAAGTATTATATGCGCCTGAGTTCCTCTCCTTACACTTTAATTTACAGACTTACTTTATGATTCCAGAACTACATGAACAAAACAAGTACTTTTCACATGCCCAATGGTTTTCATTCAGTGAGTTCTATGGTTACGAACTAATTACATGAAATTTTATCTGCTTTATCCCTCGAGTCCATACTGGGGCACACAGAGTGAAAGGCCAGAAAGGAAAGTGGTTCCACAACTGGGAAACATCCCTTGAAAACCTTTCCCTCTCCTCCCTCCTTACTTTCCCTACCTCTCCCCCATCTGCCGTCACTAAGCGCCTCCCAAACAGAGACTACATAGCAGCACACAGTTAATGCACTCAGCTGCTGACAGAAAGGCTAGACTTCAAGTCCACCGAGAAGTGCCTCCAAGACAGGCCTAGCAATTTCCTTCTGAAAAATCGGCCACTGAAAACTCTGAAACACACAGGGTCACCCTGAGTCAGAATGGACTCAACAGCAACTGGTTTAGGAGCTCCTGCGCGGCACAAACGGTTGAGCACTTGGCTACTAAACCAAAGGGGGCAATTCAAATATACCCAGAGACACCTTGGAACAAAGATTTGGTAATCTACTTAAGAAAAAGCCACTGAAAACACAGTTCTACCTTGATATACATAGGGCTGTCACAACTTGATGGCACCTGGGTTTTGGTGACATTTCAAGAAGAAAGACATTATTTCTAGGGGCTTTCTAAGGACAGCAGAGGCTAAGGATTTCAGAACTGACAGGAAAGGCTGGAGACAGAATAAAGAGGGAACTGTTCCTCCCCTCCTAAAAATCCTGATGAAACTCAAGAGAAGAAAATCCCAGTGACACCTACCTTGAGGATCCACAGGAAAGATCTCAGCTGTGAAGATCTCCTAGCAGTCTTCCAAGCCTCTGTCCAAAAGAACACTTCCTACAGCACCCTACTTCTTCCCATTGTTTCAAACAACAGTGGAGCTTTTTCACTCTCATTGTCTTGCTTCCAAGGGGAAGTTCTTTAGTGTTATCATATCTACTGTACTTAGAATTAGGAGGGAGCTACAGAGCTCATCCCGTCATTCTCTGTCTGTACCTCCACACTGACGAGGCACAGCTCAGCAACTCTCCCCCTACATCTTCTTGGTAAGGGGCAAGGTTGGCAACCTCACTAGAAATGCCTGAAATAACACTGACAAGTACTTGCAGCAGTCACCATTCCCTCGAGGAGGGGTCTGTAAATCAAGTAAATCTCCCTATTTTCCAGATAAAGAAAGACCCATACTCATTGCACTGGGACTGTCATCTCAAGAGGCTTCCATCTACCTGGTAGTAAGACCACTCAGGGAATGAGTAAGAAAGTTTAGAAAAACTATCCATCTTTAAAGACAAAAATGTTATCAAAGACTTAAATGTGAAACCTAGGACTATACAGTTCCTCAAGGAAAATTTCGGGTCAAATTTAAGGGCCCTAATATATGGCATAGACTATCAAGCATAATTCAAAATGCACAAACAGCAGAAGAGAAGCCAGATGATTAGGACCTTCTAAAAATTAAATTTTTATGTGCTTCCAAGACTTCTCCAAAAGAGTCAAAAGAGAACCTACAGATTGGGAAAAAATATTTGGTAATAACATATCTGACAATGGACTTA